TACATCATGTTCAGGTACAAACACCCAACGATAAATGTAAATGTATTGTATACCTAAAATGTACCAATTAATATATAAATAAAATATAATAAAGATGGTGTCTTCTCTAAAAAAAAAAAAAGAAGGAAATCTTCAGTGCCCCATCATGAACCTGCTCTCTACTCACAGTGAATATCAATCTTTCCATCTCAATAAGATCATACTCCATGGTGGAAATAGAGAAACACCCATGTACATGCATCTAAGTAAAGTTTGTAAATTAAATATTTAGTCATTACAGGCTTTTTCAAATAAAGGATTCTATCACTATGGAATAAGCAAGGTTATTGACGAATACAATTTTTAAGTGGCATTGGAACTAAAACAATGTGAAATTATGTAATATCCTTTAGGCTGATTCCCTTGTAGTTTGTCTCCATATTCTCTTTATGTATCTTTTTCTGTTTTTATGATCATGATCTATTTTTATGATATCTGAAGTTTTGTTGTTTTAGATGTTGTTTAATAGATTCATATGGCCCAGGTGTACATGACAGGGAGACGGTTAAGACATTTTGTTGGTCAGAAATATTTGTAAAATTATTCATAAATGTCAGATTATATAGTAGATTAGGACTGATTTTTAATGGGATAAAATGTGGTTAATAGAAAAAATTGCTCATGTATCAATTGCTGGAATTCAAACAACTATCCTCCTCACATATGTTTTTTGGAATTCTCACTTGCATGATATAGAGAGAGGAACAAGAATTTCAAAAAGAGTGTAATAATGATAAAAAGACAATTCAAGTCCTCTTTTTTCTTTTGATGAAGTGTATCTTTAGTTCTATGAGACAATATGCAGTCAAGAAAGCACCAGTTCTGTGGAAGCCACAGTGATTATGCTGTTTTTATAAATCAGTGCAAATTCCAACAATGTCAGAGATTTTATTGTTTATGCTTTTGTGCACCAGGCAAGATACAGGATATGATAACAGTTTGGGGTATTATAGTTACTATCATCCACCTGTTTGTTTTTATCCTTACCTCAACAATCCTTGTAGACTGCTTAGGAAACAGTTTACAGGGGCCCAGCTTCTGCTGTTGTCAGCAAGGCATCTATGAGTAGTAGAAGCAAAGAGGGTGGAAAGCAAATTTTAAATGAGTTTTGCAGTACATATGCCACAATTAAGAGCATACACTTCACACTTCTTGTAGTGCAAACATCAAATATTAAAATCTCCCCATATGGCTATCAAAGCAGTCATGTTTTTTCTTTGGATGAAGTAAGAGTCTTTCACATATCAAGGGGCTCCCTCTGCCATTACCTGTTTATGGTACTTTACTGTTGTGTCATGACCAGTGAGTACAGATCCCAAGACCAGACCTCCAAGCCTGGTGTGCATTGAGTTACAGCATTGAGTTCTCAGAGTTTCTATGAATAAAAAGTCAGATAAGAGCATCCTGATGCATCCATCAATGGAATAGAAAGCACAGATATGAAGCTAACTATATTTCAATAATCAAATTAAGTGCTGGAGGGACAGGCTTATTTTTAATTATTACATGATCATGAAGTACAATGCTCAGAGCTCATAATGATTCAAATTTGCACCTGTTATCCAATCTCTAAGAACTTCGTAACACTGAAGAAGAAAGGAGACAAAAGGAAAAATAATATCCACAAGTGTATTTGATGTCCCATCATAGTTAGAAGGAATCTTGTGTATTATATTCACTTATTACATTTCTACCCTTTTAAAAAGATCCATGTATTCCTTATTTCCATTTTTCTATGATAATAGATACACAATGGAAACTTGCCTCAACCATATTAAGTACACACTTCAGTGCCATTAATGACATGCAATAAATTACATGTTGTAAAATCATCACCATCATCAATATCCAGAATTTTTTATTCATTAAATTTATTGGCACATTTTAGGTATACAGTATGATTACATTCATTCATGGGAATTTGTACCTTTTTGGATATATCTTAGCTCTTATTTTTTCCTATTCCTCTTCCCTCCCTTCAACCCCTCCACCCCTCCCCATTTGGAAAAGCTTTGTTTCTGTTTTTTCCTCCTTATTTTTTCTTTCCCTTCTTTCCTTCCCCCTGCCCTTCCTCCCTAGTTCCCTTTTCCCTTTGAATATTTTTGATGTTCACAAACTGAAAATTTGTATCCAATTTTAAAACTCAATACTCTTTCCCTACACATTCCTTGAAGCTGTAATTCTACCATGAACCATGATGCTGAATTCACACCATTAAACTGCGAAAATAATGTGATCAAGGAGGCAGGATTTATGGGTCTTTATATTGAATTTTGGTATTTTTCCCAGTCTTAATTTCAGTGGATGTCGTATGTACTGAATTAGACTGGCCTACAGGAGCATCTACTTAGGACATTTTAGCATTATATTTCTTCAGTTGGAGATGAAATGACTCAGCACAGGAACGACCACAATGTAATGAAATTATAATCCCATTTGTGGAATAATACAATGCAGGTACTTCAACATCTGTTACATAAAATAAACAAAATCAGACAGGTGAATCCTTTCTTTACATTAAAGAAGGCTTTAAAATTCCCAACGATGGATCTCAGAATTGAAAAAACAATTTCTTAGTAAGAGTAACAGATGGTGTAAAAAGAAAAACATGTGGCTCCAGAAAACTCAAGACTAGGTAATTATCAGAGATGTCAAGCAAGTCATTTGAGATCAAGGAATTTGAAAGTGTAGCAAAGAATGAGCAATTTACATATCTTTTAAATAGGGAAATTGTAAGATGAATAAATTGTACAGCTTGGAATACCAAAGGTGAATAAAAAGGAACTCAAACTAAAACTCAATTCAGATAAATGTTCACATTGAAAGGGTAATGCAAGGGGCGAGAAATGGCCACAAACCAAAGACCATCATGGTCACATGCATGTGATTCCTACAATCAAAAGTGATGACATCATGTATCTGTGTCAAGCCACCCCCCAGAGCAGCTGACTCCACAGTGATCCTGGATGTCCACAGTCATCGTCAGAACCATGGTAAAAATGAAACAGTTGTCACCTGAGGAGTGCTGGACAGGAAAGGGAACATGGGATGCAGAGTTGGAAGCCAGATCCTATGACCAGGGTGAGGAGTGTTCCCAAGTCTCATGACCAGATATATAGACAGAAACAGTAAAAATAGGAAGGGCTGCAATACTTGATCCTCAAAAAGGCACATAAGATACAATTCTGAGACACTCATAAGAGTCTGTGGTCCTGTATTGTTTTGATGTTTTTTTGATATAGAAAGATGGTTGTAAAAAAGAGTACCCCACCATTCTGAACATATTTGGACTTCAAAGTATTCACATTCCAGGATTCAGATTTGAGTTCTAAAATGTGGAGCAGTGTTTACCCTAGAACTCTTCCATTATATGTTCTCCTGTTATTCACTTCCTTTTATACATACCCACCTCATAAACACTCAGGTGAACAATGGTAGAGGACCAAGAACACAGAATCTGAAAAGGAAAATTATGTATTGTTCTTTGATTTCATTCCAACTCAAGAAGCTGGAAAGTGTTTAAAGATATTCCTCAGGTGTCTCTTACGTTGTTCCTAAGGGTGGGAAAAATGAAAATGTGTAGTGACCAACCAAGCAGCAATTTAATTTTTTTCAGTGACACAGAGCAGGGTTTAATGTCACCTAGACTCAGCATTGTGACCTCAGTTGATTTCTAGTTTATACAACTGCATTGAATAAAGAGTAAATATGTACTGGGTGCTCTAATTATAATCTGTAATCAACATGTAAAATGAAGGTAAATATAAGCTTTATATTATTGTCAATATTGACAGGATTAATCCTCACACAATTTATGTAAAATATCTTCTGACCTGTTCTACTGTTTTTCTATTTCTGTTATGCTACCATTAATTTTTGTTCTTATATACATGTATGTTTTGTAATTGAAGTGTCTTGACTCTCTCTCATTAATGAGTCACCCGAGTCTATATCTTAACACAGAAGAAGCATAAAAATTAGGGCTGTGTGTTAACCTCAGAATATTTCCATAATCACTGTGACTTCAAAATACTCAGTGTTTTCCTCTCTGCAAATTTATTATTTTCAGGAATGTCCTGTAGACCTAGAGACAAGAGAAAATTTCTTTTTCATGTCTATATCATGAGTACATGGCCCTATAATTCTGTGTAGCAGCATCTCCAACATTCATTTATTCAAAGATCGAGGCCAAGAATTTTCCTGAGTAGAGGAAAATGAATCCAAAGAAGCAAAATTGAGAGTCAGGTAAATCTTAGTACTACTTTCCCTTCACTAAGACACACTGTAGAGTTTTACATCATCACAGGCTCCACTGCCCTTTGACAGTTGCATTTTTCAATAGATCTACTTTATCTTTAATAAATGAATTGTTTCTTTTAATAAACCACAGTGCCCCAGTGTTTATAAAGTTCCAGACTTAGACTACATGACACATACATTGTGGAGAAGGGAATTGTTCTCCCCATTTCCATCAGGGAATAAGAGCACAAAGAGATGGGGACATTTACATACATTCTGCATAAAGAAGCAAAGAGGGACATAAAATAAAGATGTTCACTTTTCTCATTCCCATCCCAGGGCCCAGTCTCCTCTAATGTGATAGAAATATCATGTCCTTCATGAGATGAAATTACTTAACCCATAATCATGTAAGAATTACCATAGAGTGGTTTGTGCTAAATGACCATGTACATGTTTCTCTTATCTTTCCCTGTAGTCCAGAGAAATCCTTCCTATAGTAGACACAGCAGGTGTCATCCCCCATTCTCCCCTGTCAGCTTCCCAAACCCCCACCATGAAGAGCACAGTGAAGCAGAAGTTGCTTCCTGCAGTGACAGGGACTTGAAGGGGCTGGTTGCATTGACAACGTACATCTGTGCTATGATTCTCCAGTAAAAATGCCCTATGTCATTCCTCAAACAGATTAATTTTTATAAAGTGTCATTCTCTTCTAACTAAAGCATAACAGAAACTACAAAAACTGCTAGGTTCTTTCTTTATCTATAAAATAACAACAATGTGAGACTGTGAATGTGAAATGGAACAAGCTGTAAATGATGAGAACAAAGCCTGGTATGTTGGAAGCTCTGTAAACTGGTACCTGCTGTCATGATTTTGCTGTTTTTATATCCTTAATCATATTAATTAAATGTTAGGTGTCCTAAAATAACAAATTAGAGAAACACATTTTCTGGGATCATTCTTCTAGTTGATGTTGATGGGAAGTAGATCCAGGGTCCCAGGACAGCGAATAATTTTTGTGAAGGATAAGCTTGCAATAGGAATCCCCAAGAAACAACACTTCATGGTACTCTTAGCAGAAATCCTGCATATTGGTGTCCTCTTTGGCCACTAGAGGTGTCATGTTTGTTTTCATGGTGATGAAATAATGCAGTAGACAGTCTTTCCTCCATCCTTAGTCTCACTTGCACTTACTGGGTTACTCAGCATTTTGGCTGTGTCATGAACAAGAAAATGAAGAATGAATGGGTCTCTCTCCACCAAGAGTCCAATGAAGGCTCAGCCCCTATCCTTAGCATTTCAGTGAATACCATGTCAAATAAGAGTTTCCTTGGGCAATCAAAAGCCTTCCTCAGCAAATCCTAAGAAGCACAGTCAGTGGTATGGAGCCACGGGAGAGCTAGAGACATAGGTTAATTACTTACTATTATATTACCTTGAAGGACCAATGCCCAGCAATCATTGTTAACTAAAATATTTTATTCATCTGAATCATTAAGAAATCCTTAATATTAATTGAGGAAGGAAAAGATCAGAAAAAGAATGTCTACATGGTTTTGGTATATTTATGTATTCAAACGGAAGTTTATGTGTACTATTCACATGATTTGTATTTTTTAACAAAAATCTTTTATTACCATTATTTATTGTGGTGAATATATATAACAACATTTAACCATTTTTTCAGTATCATTAATTACATCTTCATTTATCTGCATCACAATGATGCATCTCCAAAAATGCTTATTTTCTAAAACTTAAATTGCATATTCATTTTAATCACACTCCATTCTTTTAGTCTCATGAACATATCTTCTACCATTCTGATATGATACATGCTGAGGAATTAGAGTAATCAACTACTAAAAATGTTCAGAAGGTAAACTTTGCAGGACTAGATGTTTAGAATTGATGCCTCTTTCCATGTAAATTTTGTTTGGTTGCCTCAGATGCAGATTCTAGAATTTTTGGCTGTATAGCTTTCTTAGGGCATTTTTAATGTCCTTATTCTTCAGGCTATAGATGAAGGGATTCAGCATAGGAGTCACAATAGTGTACATTATGGAAGACACCATGCTCTTTCAGGAAGAATGTGCTAGAATGGATTCAAGGTACATCCCAATGCTTGTTCCATAAAATAAACAAACAACTGACAGATGAGACCCACAGGTGGAGAAAGCCTTATACTTCCCACTTGATGATGGGACTCTCAGAATGGAGGAAATCATTTTATAATAAGAGAATAACATTACTGAGATGGGTAAAAACCAATTATGTCACCAGCAAAATAAGTGATCATGTTTTTGGTAAAGTTTTCAGTACAATCCAGCTTAAGAATTTGAGTAGGTTCACAGCAGAAGCTGGAAATTCAAACATCATAGAAATAAGTGAACTTTAAGACAATTAGATTATGCAATTGTGAGTCCATAAGGCTAAATAAAAGAGATGTGAAAACTAAGAAGACACAGAGGGGAAAGTTCATAATGAAGGAATACTGCAGGGGTTGGCAGATGGCCACAAACCTGTCATAAACCATCAAGGTGAGAAGCATGTAATCCATACATGCAAAAAGAATAAGCAGAGACATTTGTGTCAGGCAGCCCACAAAGGAGATGACACTCTTGTGAGTCAGGATGTCCACAGTCATCTTTGGAAGCATTGTGGAGATGAAACAGATGCCAGTAAAAGACAAGTTGCAGAGGAAGAAGTACATGG